CAGCTGAATATCTGATTCTTTGTTTCCACAATTGTTTGTTTAGCAAACTCAGATCCTGTTGTTTTACAAGGGCATCGACAAACTGTTTAGTTCTCCAATGTCACTTTTCAAGCTGTGTAATAGATGGCATGTTTATATTTGAGGTGTGTGCTTCAGAACACGCACCATCTACCGTCACCGCCTGGGTGCAGCTTTTTTATGGTTAGGAGCCACACTGGTTTAATCTAGGAATGATCAGTTAAACACACAGATACCCACACCCAGAGCAACAGATCCTCTCTTCTCTGGTGCATTAAGGGTCTCCTTTCCCACTACATACAGCTCTAGCGGACTAATTATACTGTTATTCACACTGGTTTTACCTGAGCAGAACTTCACTTACTTCAATGGAGTTACTCCTTATTTACATCGCTACAAGTGAGAGGAGAATCAGGACCTGCATGTGTCAAGGAGCCCTCCACAGAAAGGATGGTGTAACAGTCCCTGTGTTTCCTGGAGCCACAGGACCAAACCCAGCGGTGGCAGCTCTGCCGTTCATCCCTTTCTGGTAGGTAAACTGAACATCATGCAATTTGCTGTATATGGATTTACTGCAGGAGACCTTGTACACTAAAATTCCTGCCTTCTGAACATGAATGTTAAAGGTCCCAAGGCACTTTCCAAAGAAGTGGGAGTTTGCCCATCTCCTTGGCCAAATTTCTTCTTTCCTTCACTACTGTGCAGCTGTGCACTAGCTGGCAGTCATCATTCCCCCAGAGGAAGTTGCACTATGATGTTGTAGGGAGATATTTTGAAAAGTTTTCTATATAATTGTGAAATATTATGACTGCTGCCTGCTTTACACCACATTTCTTCAAGGCTTCCTATTGTGATGGCTGGAGCTCAGTGGATACCCTTTGGAAGCCATCTGTGCCCATGTTGGATCAGGCCCAGGGGATGTCCCTGAGTAACAAAGTACTCTCTCGCCTCCAAGGTGGGCCAAATGTAGTCCCAGTCCTGCCAGCCATGCAGCAAAGGCGAGATGAATGTGACTTGTAAGTGACTTGACTTAGACTCCCTTCTAAAAACAACTGGAGCTCAAAATGGCATTTTCACATTTCAACTGGCAAATGCTTCCGTGACATGTCTCCTACTGCACCCACCTAGGCCCCTTGGATGTGGAGAAGGAGAGAGGGGAGCTCATTTTTCCCCTACTGGATTGAAGCTTGTGTGTAAATAGTCCACCCTCAAATGCCAATGCCATTCCAGGGAACGTACCTCAAGGTCTGAGTTCACTTACTTACATTGTAAGTTCTTTGGGGTGGGGACTATCATTTTGTTCTGGGTTTGTACAGCGCCTCGCACAATGGGGTCCTAGTCCATGGCTAGAGCTCCTAGGTGCTACAAATAATTGTGCACAGAAGGTATCAGAATCAAATGTGCACTAACACAGCAAAGGGCCCCAGGATAACCCCCCTTGGCTACTAGCAGGGAATTTACACCTGAGATACTATAACCTGCCCAGGGGTATCAGTGCTGTGAAAATACAACTAGGGGAATAATTACCTGGTAGTAAAAAGAAAAGCACTTGCTTTAAAAATCCAAACTACAGTGACCCAGCTACCACATACACTAGATTAGTTTGACTGGTGTGACAAACATTCCCGACCTACGCTGGGTCGTGCTTTCTTTGTACTGTGACAGATCAAACTGGCCTTTGTGAAAGTGAATTCAAATTGAAGCTGCCAACAGGGCTTCTCAAAAACAGACATTTTATTCTGGAAACTCACTTTTCTTTCAAGTGTTAATACAACCCCCCCCTCCATAACAGGAGACATAGAGTCCTGCCTGGAACTGGGATCCCACGGGTCCCACAGGACCCGCTGCCACAATAGCGGGAGTGGGTGGGAAAGGGATTAAAAATACTGTAACACCCTGGCTTTATGTAGCTCATTGATGTTGCCCTCTAGTGGCTGTCCCACAGAGAGGATAACAGATCTACTGCTAGTGCTGACTGAGGGAGTTCACCTTCAGCTGCAGCCACTGAGGCCCACATTCCTGAAGGTGAAGGACCAGCTCTGTGGCTCAAACAGATCTATTCCACCATATTGCTCTCCACCAATCACATTGTTATCCCCCTCATATCCAGTCAATCAGCGCTCCCCCTCTCGACAAAATCAATCCTCCCTGAAGCTGAGCATCAGTCCTTGCCCCAGGGGGCATTCTGAGCCAAAACATTAAAAATTCTGCACCAAAAATTAAAAATTCTGCAAATTTTATTTGTCAAAATAACACTACATAATTACACCAGTTTCAATTATTTTGGTAATTTATTTCAAAATACCCGTCAGCAAGTATGTCTGTAACAATACAAACACACACAAAAAAATCCCCCAGGAGTAGAGAGTTAAAGAAACCCCTATGACAACCCAGTTCCTGTTCTCTGTTCCCCTCCCCTCCACAAGCCCAGCTGGGGGCCAAACACACCCCCCCCCCCCGCCCAGCCGCCAGGCCCCCCCCAGGCCAGATACCTGCACTCCCTCCCCCCCAGCTCAGCCGCGGCACCCCCTGGTCCAGATACCACACCCCTCTCCCCCAGAGCCCAGTCATGGCGCCCCCGGCCCAGACACCCGTCCCCCCCAGCCCAGACACCCGCCCCCTCTCCTCCCCAGAGCCCAGGGATCCAGAGGGAGAAACAGCCTGATGCTGGGTCCCAGGCTTGCACGGAGTTTCCTTTGCACCGCCCTCTCCTTCCCTCAGGGCATGCTGGAAACTGCAGCTGCTTGGAACCCTCTAGCTCCCTCCCCTTTCCCCCCAGCAGTGTCTTCTATGTGCGAGCTGGGCTCTGTTGGGTCCAGCGGCCCCTAGTGGTGGCCAGCAGCACTGCAGCCCATTGCTGTGGGGGAAAAGAAATTCTGCGTGCACAATGTTAATTTCTGCAAAATTCTGCATTGCGCAGTGGCGCAGAATTGCCCCAGAAGTAAATCCTGAGCCCAACTGGGACTCCTATCCTGCTGCTGCCCACACCCCGTTTGATTTTCTGTATACCAGCTCTTTCTCCTGCTCCTTGGCTATCTACTCATTTTTCTCCTCTCCCTACTCTTAAGAGCAGCTCAGAGGCTACTCTGCATTTTCCCCTACCCTCCTGAAATACAACTAGTGGTGACTGGGGCTTCCACTTTCTTCTTCTCCTGTTAAAGGAGCTACAGCATTTGCTCCCTGCCTGTATCTCTGCTTCACAGAAAGCCTAACTGCCTTCTTGTTCAGGCCCTTCCCAAACTGGGACTGCCCTACTAGCCTCAGAGGCTGGATTTTTCTGCCCTGCTGGGTGCAATGTTTATGTGGACAGTAAAAACCCTATGGCTCTGATTCTAAGAGCAGGAGGTTTTCCTGGGTCCTTAGTTAAAATGTTCAGTCCCTGCAGTTGGTTGTGGCCCTCCTCCCCAGAGCTGCCCCCCTTTCAGCAGTGCTGTATGTATGTATGTAGCTGTGTAAATATTTTATTTCATCTCAATCTTGTCATGATGAATATTTCAACGAAACATTTTCTCCATTTCCCTCTTGGTCTCTCTGGGTAAGTGACCAGTTTGAGCAGTTTAGTGTCTGAAAATGGATAAAACATTCAATACACAGCAACAACGTGTTAAATACACAAAGCTAACTGAAGAGAAATCCATTATTTATGATCTCTGTGACTTTAACAAGCCAAACTCTTATACTGAAAGGGCTTAGGTTTGAGAGCAAAGTGCATTTTGAACTGGCTTCTTCAGAGATCCCTTTATTGACTGTCTGGTTCAATATGTTCTGGATTCATAGGCAGAAAACTATTATTATTATTTTTTTTTGCTTTAACATAGATGTTTCCAACCTGTGAGCTGTGATCCCCTGAGGCGATCTACGGGTTTTCAAACCTGTTCCCATTCCCTATCTCTGATTTCCAACTGAAACAGATCTCCTCAGTCACTTGCTACCAATTCCTCCTCAGCTAGGCCCCCACAACCCACTCCACTACCAAAGAGCCGGGTAAGGGGTAAACTGATTGCAGTCTATAAGTGCCTACATGAGACATAAATATGTGATAATAAACTCTTCAGCCTAGCAGGCAAAGGTATAACACGATCCAATCGCTGGAAGTCGAAGCTAGACAAATTCAGACTGGAAATAAGTTGTAAATTTTTAACAGGGTAATTAACCTTTGGAACAATTTACCAGGGGTCGTGGAGGATTCTCCATCACTGGCAACTTTTAAATCAAGACTGGATTTTTTTAAAGATATGTTCTAGTTCAAAATAGATAATAATTCCCCAGAATTATTTTGGGGAAGTTCTATGGCCTGTGTTATGCAGGAGGCCAGACTAGATGTCCTTTCTGACCTTGGAATCTATGAATCTTTCCCTCCCCTCCCCTCCCCACTCCACTCCACTCCACCCCACCCCACCCCACGTTTTCTATCTGCTTTCCAGTCCTGTGTTATTCTTTTAGAACAATTAATTTCCCCCGAAACCTAAATGCTTTCATCTCTCTTTAAGAAGCTATGGGCCAGATTGTGTCACGAAGGTTCTAGCACTGAACAAGGGGCAGGGTGGAGCCGCCCTGCCTCTGAAAGGGATTGTGACTCAGTGAGGAACATTGCCCCTGGAGCTCCTGGAAAGCTGGCTCTCTCCTCCCCACTCCTGTCAGAGAGGCTCACATTTAAGTCACTACAGGAGCTGCTGTTTAACTCTCTGAGCCTCAAATCAGCCTCTGACTTCTCACTGAATGCACCATTATTTGCAGCCACAGAGTTCTGTGCTCCGACTCGTTTGTGCAGGTTATTTTGGTAATTGGGCACTCAGCTACACAGTCTGCAGACACAAATACCCAGTTTGAAGGCACAAATTTGTTGCAGCAAACATGTCATTAGAGGTCTTGGCTGAAATGTGGCCTTTAGGGGCACCCAAAAATACTCTCTCCTCCAAGGAAATCTTTACCCAGCAGACATCCCTTGTCCCCAACGCTGCTTAGCCCCTGCAGATACTTACGACAATCCTGCTCGTCTGCCTTGTCTTTGCAGTCTTCGTCACCATCGCACTTCCAGTTCAAGTGGATGCACTCCCCATTGCCACACCTGAATTCGTGGGCCGCACAGGTGTTCAGCACCTGAGGCTTGACTTTGTAGCCACACTTCTCCATCGATTCATCTGAGTGGTCTTCACAGTCGGGCTGGTTGTCACAGACCCAGGGCTCAGGGATGCACACGCTGTTGTTGCACTGGAACTCGTTAGGGTTGCAGGTGAGGGGCGAGCACTTCCTCTCGTCACTGCCATCGCCACAGTCGTTGTCGCCATCACACACAAAGATCATGGCTATGCAGGTCTTGTTACTGCACTGGAACTCACTGGAAGAACAGACTTTGGAGTAAAAGCAAACAGGTGAGTTGGGAGATCTTCAACCTAGTCATGCTACCTCTTCCTACCTTCAAATTCCCAAGCACAAGGATAAAGCAAACAACCTAGTCCCCAAGTGGACACTGCGTCCATGTCACAAACCCACCACACACCCTTGGGCAGTCTCTGCTCAGGAGAAACCCAACACTGGAGCAGGCTAGGAGTGAAGTACATTAGCTAGGCTGTGTGGTGTCCAGAGCAGAGTTGTGGTAGGCTATCACTGAGGATCATTAACACAACTGTGCGTGGAGCCCAGGAGTGGAATAGTTGAAGGGCTGAAGGTCAAGACTGAGAAGCACTGGCAGAACTGCATGGGGAGCTTTGGACAGAAGTGTACGGGAACTGAAGATCAGGAACAAGGACCACTGGCAATTCTGTGTGTGGTCCCAGCACCAGAACAGCAAAGGTATTGCAAGCTAAGACTGAAGAGCACTGTCTGAGCTGTGCTGGGAGACAAGCAATGGAACAGCAGAGATATTACAGTCTAGGATGGAGATACACGGCAGAATTGTGTGACACAGTCTTGCATAGCTCCCGATGGCACTATACTGAGCTCAAGCCAGTGCTATCAGTTCCTGACTTTCACCAAATTCACCCCCCAAACTAAGCAAATTTCAGATTTTTACAGTGTCTTGTTTTGGACATATTAAGTGGGACACACAGGGTAAATATTCAGTGAGTTGTGCAGGAATTAGCTGCTGAATCATGCCGATAAATCCCTTCACAACGTACTGACTATTTTCCCTGGAAGTCACCATTCTGCATTTACATACAAATGAGACTTTTTGAGCTATGAAGGAGAACAGACATTTTTCCTTTGCATGCCTGATTTACTGCTGAGCCAGAGGAGTCTGCTCAAATTAAACTTTCAGATGTCCCAACAATGGTCACTCTTACTGCAAAAAGAAAAACACAGCCACTGGCAAGAGTTCCCTATAAATACTTTTAATTGGTACCTAATTTACTCGGTTGTTAAGGAAAAAAAAATCAGTTCAGCTTCAAAGATCCACTGGAAAATTATGGCTTTTATAAATTATATTAGATTAAATAATCTGTCTTGAAAAATGCTTCTTTTAATTGCACTCAGGAGGCTTTTGTCTTCAATAGCAAAAGTACTTATTGCCTCTTCTGCACAGCTCCTGTGATAAACCACACTGCTGAAATAACACTGGTAGCTGAGACACAACACGGAAAGTGCATCTGAAAGACAACAGAATCTCTACTACGTGGGGTTACGTACCAGCTTTGAGGGTGTGGCAAGAGTACAGGGAGAATGATCTAATAAGGCCACGTCTATACTATAAGGTAGGGGTGTGATTCCCAGCTCACGCAGACATTGTCACTAGCTCTCATCTAGCTAGTGCACTAAAAATAGTAGTGCTGCTTCCTGAACCCTGTGAGTACATACTCAGCACAGCTATCCCATGCTGCGGCTTGCGTTACTACAGCTATGCTACTATTTTTAAGCACACTAGTGTGACAAGAGCTAGTGTGAGTGTATATACGTGAGCTGGGAATCACACCCCCAGCTCTAAGTGTAGACATACTCTAACAGTGTTATACAGAAAGATTCTGGTTTTTTCACCTAGGAAGATAAGCACTGACTGCTTGCAATGGAATTATTAGCATATACACTACCTGAATCATGAACTTACCAGGCTGTATGGGCAAAGAGCAGACCTGAAGTTTCTAACTCCCTAAAGTTCTAGTGTTCTACCTATTGAATCTATTTTGATATGTCCTAAAGGAAAACCTAAGAAACCCAACCCTCCCTGGATCAGTCCCAGCAAACCCAACTTCTTTCGACCTGTCTGGGCATTATTTTGGCTCCCATCACCTAAATGCCAAAGGACAAGCCCATTTGAGGGAGTAGAGGTGTTTGCCTTCCTTGGTAGCATCTCACACCAACCACCAATGGAGACAGAATTTGGTGGATCCATTTTTTGATTCAGTGTGGCAAATCCTATGCTTGAATTTTTAAATCCCGTGGTATGAAATCACTAGTGCACTAAAATTACAAATTACTAGAAGCTCCAAATTAAATTGCTTGTTAGGGGGTTGGTGGTAGAATGGGGCAGAGATGTCTTACCAATAAGAAAAAGATTCAGATTCCCAAAACAGTCAGAGGAGAAGGATACTCTTGAGCACAGCCCATAAGCTCTTCTATGGATGCGATGAAGCAGATTTTTAAAGGAATCTCAATTCCACCTTCAATTTTCTGGGTGCAATTTTATAGCTGCAATTAAGTGCATCTGAAAATTACAGCATTTGGTCACCTAACTATCTGATTTGTTAGCACACTCAGGTGGAGAGATGTCTAAGCACTAGGAACTGCATCTAAAAGTAATTGCATGGCAGAGTTGGAGTTCATTAAAAGAAAAAAATAGGCGCAATCTCTACTTATATGTCTGTCTTCCTCTCACAAACATTTACACGGCACCTGCCTTTCTCCAAAGATCTAATTGTGCTTATTTAGCTATTCTGATTAATTGGCACTTGTATAACTGAAAACAAAATGATCTATTAATCTGATCGATCGGTCTTCATCTCTGTAATCTAGCAGCCATTTCAAATGGGTAATGTTATGGCATTGTGGAGTATTACTTTGAGGTAACACAGCTATAGCCTTACTGATCTGATTGAAGAGAGATGATAAACATGAGAGCTGCAGTGACTACATGCAGATAACGTAACAGATCAAGGCTGAGCTGAGGAAATACATCAAAACAAATGTTAGAAAAGCTACCTCAGAAAAAAATAAATAAGCAAAGTTTGCATAAGCTCTTGATCCCTAATATTTTGGCAGGATTACAGCAATTTACACACTCCAACTGTGAATTAATTTCCTTCCCTGAGCTGTAATGAGCACATCTTTCTTCCTTGTTTTCATTATCCCCACCTCTGCCCCTTCTTATGTTTGTATGTGTTGCCTGTCTCCCTTTTGAAATTTGCCAAGTGTGCAAATTAGAGATGGCCACATGTATCCATAGAAAGTGGGGGTCAGTCACCTACAGACAATGCAAATTAATATAGAAGCTCCTCCTCCCCTGTACACACAAACCCCACTGAAATATAAAATGTATCGAAAATCTCAGACAGAAAGGAATAAAAGCAATTTTGCTTTCATGCCTCTCCCGAGGACTTCTGCAATGAAGCTTATGATTTCCTAGCTACTAATTCACAAGCTTATGATTATTTTATTTTGTTTTTAAAATGTGAATTCAGTGCTGATGCCGAATAGGACCAGCACTAGAGACTGAAGTCCTTTGTTCACCGAACAGGTACAGCATGGGCAGCAGACACCTACCACTCCACCCTTGTGTCTCAGCCTTGATCAGGGAGGGCTTCACTGGCACATCTTTAACCCTGGCCCAGAAGCATGTAGCTGCATCAGTGCTGACAATGGGCACAAACTCTGCTTGTGCAGACAAAGCTCCAGTGGCAACAGTGGTGACAGTTACAGTGGTGGTTCATGTGATGTGGTCATCGGGTTACTATGGACTGGACTGGTACCACTGACTCATTTTCCACAGGCCTCAGACAGAACTCTGCCTAGGCAGTGCACATTGGCACTATAGTGGCACCCCCATAGAGAGAGTACTCCCCCTTACAGACCCATCTGGCTCCACTGGCTTTTAAGAAAAGCCTGTCTCACCTTCAACCTACCTTGCCCCCCCTAGCGACTTTCAGAGAGCTAGATTTTATGGGGTGTGCTAGGAAGAAGCAAAGCCTGCACTCTCCAGCCACACTGTGGCTTGCTCTTGCACAGGGCTGAAATAGGGGGAGAGCACCTCCTTGTACTCTTTCTATGCCCACACAGGAGCCAACCACATTATGACCTTTTGCATGGCTTTACACTGGTATAAAGTACCCCCTGGAGCAAGAAAAGAGTTGCATTATGAATTACTATACACAGCACATGCAGAGATAAGGTGGGAGGAATAAGTGAAAGGCAATTTAGATACACATCATCCTTCCCAAGTCTGTCTGGATACTTAGGCAACCCCCATTACTACAACATCTCAGAGCTTCCCAGGGGTCATGGATCAGCGTTCATGTCGCACTCCCCATTAGTACCCGGCCCAGCTAATGATCCAACCAGCAGACCAAATTCGGTGATGAATCCTGGTCACGTGCCACCTGAGGCATATTGCGCATACGCTAAGAAGTGCTTCCCAAGTATTTCAATAGAAATAACATTAAACAGTAATTAAATATCCACCATGGTATTTATTTCTCCTTTGACTTGAGCAATTTGTTTACGTTCTCTAATTTTGCTACCTGCCCTATTAGGAGATTTTTTTGTACAAAAGGGAGAAAAAACAATATTAGTTTCAATTTTTTTCAGTGGAAAGAAATAAGGGTTGTAGTCTCAGATGCAAAATCTTTTTTAAATATGAAGTGATCCCAGTAGAAATCTTGAAAATCTTTGATTGGCAGGAGTGTTGCAGCTCTGACTGGACCTTGGGCTCCGAAACCCACCCCCTTCCCTGGGCTTCAGTACCCAAGCTCCAGCCCAAATTGCAACGTCTACTAGCTGTTTTTAGTGCCGTAGCACAAGCCCGAGTCTGTAGACCTGCGCTTTGAGACTCACTGCTACAGGTTTTAAAAGCAATGAAGTCGTATGCTTAGTGACTCAGTATTGGCACCCTTTTCTCTCAGTCACTATTCAGCCAATAGGATGCTAGTAGGCACGAGGAAGTTGGAGGTGCCATCTTTCGGATAAGATGTAAAACTGAAGCCTTTGTATGGTCAGTTCTATGGCACTTTTTGTAAGAGCAGAGAACAGTTACACTGATGTCCTGGTAAAAATTCCTAGTCATTTATATGAATTCTGTTTCTGTATATTCCACGTTTGGTTTCATTTGTATATGGCATTCTCTTTTACTTCCTACACTCGTGTAAGGTCACTGGGTACTGCTTAACAGCTGCAGTGTTTCAGTGTGGGTAAAGCGAGTCTTTTG